AAATTTTTAATGCTTTCCCGCATCTATCGTTTTCCCGCATTCATCGTTTTTATTTCCCACCCCCGCCGAAAACGATGCATCGAGGTTTCACTGTATTAACACTTCATTGCATTTAAACCTCAAAAGGTCATCAGATGCCACTGATGATGACCTTTTGAGGTTGAAACGCGTATGGCAATAGTGTCCTCTTTATAATGTTAATAGTTGTTTGTGTGCTTATTTATATTCTAATACACTACACGGTATGCAAAGTTTTAAAAATGTTTTATGATAATTTGGTGCACTTACTATAGAAATGCAGTATCAGTTATATTGCTTTTATCACAACATAAAAATGCTGTAACTGCTTTATTTTTGACATGTATAAATTGGAATTCACCATTTTCAATGTGTATTGCTCATTATTTTTGTTAAGTTACTCCTATCCCAGTAGAAAGTTGTTTCCCACCCTCCTCTTTTCCATATTGCTGTGTATGAGTACTATTCTTCCTTGATGCTACAGCCTTTGGTGGGCTTTGACCTCAGTATCATTACTATTATAGTAGTGGTTATTACATTGCTGTAATCATTGCATCCATGGCTGATAGTGTTCTAAATGTAACTATCATGCATTGTTTAGTGATCTGAAACTAAATGCATTCACATAAAAACTGCAAAACTTACAAATAATTAAAGTTTCTTTCTGCATATTCGTAAGTCTCCTACACACGAGATTGGAAACACCCATTAATAATCTCGGATTAACATTTTATTGAAAACAAACCCCTTCAATACAGTGTAGGAAATGCGTTTCATTGTAGTCACATATCGAAAATTTGACCGAACGTTCTGGTTCAGTTGCAAAGGCTCCTGCTGTATATTTCGGATGTACAGAACAAATGTTATCTTCCATGATGAATAAATCTCCCTCAGGCAATCTTTCACGTATATTCCGAACCTGCCAATTAAAGTGACATTTTATTACTGTTAAGGAATTGTTACAAATATAGGTCTCATTATGTAAAAAGTTTCACATATGTAACAAAAAACAGATTTCAGATTTTTCTCTTACCACGTATGGAGTGGCTCTGGGGTATGCCTAGTCTTCTTCTATGGCTCTCCAGTCCGTATTCGGTCCATGGTCTCCTCAATTCTCTTCTTCCATTTGGTCCTCTGTTAGGTCAGTCTGTCTGAGGCTTTGATTGAGGTTTTGAAACATCTTACTTTTTATGGTGCAAGGTTGTTAGAATTGCGACAAACCCCCAACCTGCAGGACCAGGGTACCTGTCTTAGTCTGACCTCTCCCCCTCAACCAATCTGGCTAGGGAGACCCTACCAGTAGCTATGCTACCGCCAGCATAGCTAGAATCAGTTATAAAAAGTCAAATTTCATGACGGGTTTGTAAAATGGATTATGATCAACAGAGAGAGGTCGAAACGTGTATGGCAATAGTGTCTTATTATAGTGTTAATAGTTGTTGGTTTGCTTACTCTATATTCTAATACACTACACGGTATGCAAAGTTTTAAAAATGTTTTATGATAATTTGGTGCACTTACTATAGAAATGCAGTATCAGTTATAAAAATTATTTTGAAATCCTTTGAGCTCCAAATAACCTAAATAAGGAATTTACAAATTAATTTAATCACAAACAAGTACAGCAGAGCATATGTCTGAAAGATCATGTGAACACTTGAAATTTTTCTAGTAGTTGCATAATGCAGATTTCCTTAAAAGAGACTTTTTGTCATTGAGAAGTATGATCACCAGAATTTGTGTCATATGATTATTTTAAATGTTTTCCGTGCATTTCTATAGGCATATGAGAAATGTTCAAGTGAGCACGAAGGAGAACACATGTTGGAAGATATCTTGGTAAGTAAATCAAAGCACCTTTACTAATAATTCTATTTACTGGATATGTTATTAACCACAGGTAATGCTCCAGACTTGTATTTAGTCAACGTCTTGCCTGGGCTTTCTGAGGTTCTTCATGATTTCCTCAGTTCCTACAATTAATTTCTAAGAAAGTAACTTTTAAAACATGCAATAACAGGCCCTTCCAAATCCTTATTTAATCACTATTCATGATCTGCCCATTTCAGTTGATACTATATAATATATATGCAAAGGCGCAGGTACCATTAAGTAGGGATGCCTAGTCTACTGTCCATTTTTTTCTGGAGGCTCTTCCCCCCAGAGGTAAAGCAGCCAGAGCATGAAAATGTTCCCTCACCTCTTTAGGTTAACAATGCATATCTTTATGGTGCATTACTTGATTGACTAAGCACAAAGACAGTTTTATCTTGGCACATAGTAACATCACAGCCCTGATGACCGGGACAGAGATGGCCCCTGTAACATCAGTGATTTTTAACCAACTGACATGGCTAACATATTTTCAGAACTTCATGGCTTTTCCACAACTCATTCCAAAGGTGTTAGGCACACAGATGAAACCTATTATGTTTATCCCAGAAACTGGATATTGCTATCTAAGATTTAATAAACACTTATGAGAATAACTCACTCTGATATATGAGACTTACATCAAACAAAGACATGAGATGTAATTTCTTGGGACCAAGTTCAAGACTGTACCCATTAGAATTACACGAGAGCCTGTTGTCTGTTGTTCGTTTAGTGGTTGTGGAACGAATGCTTTTAGGATCGTCATCACTCACCGCGAAATCTTGCACATGCACGTATATCGAATTCCTAGCAGGGCCTTTCTCCTGGTCTGTGGACTGTAGGCAGCCCCAGTGTTAACATGAAACATAATCAGCACCAAACGTCCTGTGTGACTTTGACCGAATTTTGATTATGCCACTTGGGCAGGATTTTCCTGAAACCAGGTAACAATCACTGGTTATTTGATGCTGAAAGGATTAATGCTTAGTTTGCACATGGCCACATTTGTAAAAATGTACAGTTATATGTAGAACAAATGAAAATATGATATATTGATATATGGAAAACACACAAATCAGATAATTTGCAGATGATTAAATGGGAGTTCACTTCTTGCTACCAATTTCAGTCTCTCTTTATCTCTATGTTTATATAATTTTTATTAAATATAACTTTTTGATTAATCGGGGGTTCTTTAATTTGTTTTTTTTTTGGCTTAACCACTTTTCTTATCCTACAACCGTACCACCTCCCGATACCACCAAATGGGGGTACAGAGTTTACATACACAGTGTAATGTGGAATGCTACAACAGAAAATCTAATTACATTCATTTAATAATAATCATTTATGAAATGCTTTTTTAAACTCAGGTATTCAATTTGGTTTCTTCTGTAATGAATCATGGGTCTTTGAATTCTTAATAAAATACTGAAGCTTAAGGAAATGTAGTGTTTTGATTGCTTATAGAAGTACAGAGAGCTCCTAGTAATTTTGTTGATGTTGACATCAGTAAAACTAACAGTTATTTCCTTTACCAAATAAATTAACATCGTAACTATCATCATACCAAACAGGATGGTATAGTGGTGGCTTTCATCAGTCTCTCCAAAGTACCTTGAAACAATCACAGTCCTAACCTTCTAAATCTGTACCAACAAACCACCAATAATCATGATCATCTTCCTATCTCACTCAGTACTATATAACCTCTGAAGCTGAAACATGAGTGTACTGAAGAATTAATCCATTATGTCCTCCAAGAATCCAAAGTGAGTGGAGTGTTTTGTTCACACTGAATATGTGCTGAGATTGCGTCTTTGTTAGCCATTAAGGATTATTCTAAGGAATAAAAGCATTTGCATAGGAAGCAAATTTTATTGTGCTGTGGCCACAATTCTGATGTCCATTGCAGTTGTTTTCAAAATAATGGTACTGAATGATTATGGTCAGTATCACTTTCTAACAGTATGCTTAAAATTGTGCTGCTATTGAGATGATATACTCACAAAATATTCTCCTTCTTAAGATATTTCCGCTTTGTGTCACCTGACTCGTGAATTCAAGTCATCTGTAATCCAAGTTATGAAACTATTAAGAAACCTGTTTCTTTTGAGAGACAGTTTATTCTACCTCCTTTAAACAACATGAACTCAGAAATGGTCAAATTCAAATGGTATGTCTTGAAATAATGCATACCATGAAAATGGAAGATCAGATATTTACTAAACTGAGTAATGAAGCTGAAAGACAGCAATGCCATTCAGTACTCCAAAATAAACATGTAAACAGTCCTGTGATGATCATTCCAAGGTTCATCATCTCTTCAGTGACACCACATTCAGTCCAGCACATGAGAAAGTGGAAAGAAAGGTGAAGACATTAGTAGGTGTGTGTATAGCAACAGAAAGAGTCAGTATTTCGTGGACTTGTCATTAAACTGAAGCTTAAAACTACAAATCTTTAATGCCTGAAAGTTCAACAATAGCATCTTGTTCTGCTTTACTCGATGCAACAATGGAATCACTGCAAACACCTAGCTGAATTAAAAGTTATTATTGTTCTACTCGTCGAACATCCAAAGCTTTTTTTCTGTGCCTTTTTAAGATTCTTAGGATATTCACAAATGAGATGACACTTGCTTAACCCCATTTCAGTAAACTTGCCTTCACACAAAGATATAATAACTAACAGCAGCTCAGTAAAAATGAGTTGCATTCTTATTGATATTACTGAACTAACAGCAGTTCAGTAAAAATGAGTTGCATTCTTATTGTTGCAAACCCTTTTTGATGATCATGGAGAACATTCTGCATTGTTGACTGCAGAGAATTGTGGTTATTTTTAAGATAATTTATCATCACCACCATCATCATCAGGAACTTTCACTGAACTGCCCCATAACAGTCCAAAGATGTATCTAGGAACATTACAAAAGTAGGGAGCTTATAGTAACAAATATGAAGACAATGACTTGCTTGTTACAGACCAAGATTTTGCCCTAAACAATATTAAATTACTGACTTACATAACTTTACAAACAGAAAATAACTTCATTACTAAGGGATTGAAATGAGCATACCAACTGGACCAGTTGGTACCACCAAACATTTAAGATAATTTTCAAATTTAAATAGGCAGTGACAATTTAAAAGGAAAACCTTGGTTATCAATTTTGTAATGGGTAACATTTCATAACTGTTAATGTGAAAAACTGTTAGCTATCAGTGAAATATTTCATTCTGGTCCCATGCACATAACAGCAAATGTACTTTCTTCTGAAGCAAGTGTCATGTTGTACAAACTGCCAATCAGTAATATCAAGAGCTCGATCAAATCTTTGTGGATTGGGATATTCTGAGTTGTGATACCATATAACCTTGTAGGTAGGACGTTAAAGATGTAGGCAATATGTTCCTCGGTAACACTTATAACAACCTACAAAATTATACAGAATCATAACAAAGATGGCCAGAATTCACATTTTCATCACCTTGAAAAACTCAAATCTCGAACAAACCTTTTCAAAGTAGTAGAAACATTTTGTGTCTTCTTGTCTCAAAACTGCTACATGATATTTATTGGCTGCAATGAACATTCAAGCACCATGATATATACTTGTCAATCTTGTCTTTTTAATACCTGACTGAAGAAAAAATATGTGGGAAATACTGCATGCATAATACTCGGTGAAGAGTAAAAATTATAGAGCCCTCATTACACAACATTCATCCCCCTTATGTCCAAATATTCTTCTCAGCATCCTGTTCTCAAATACCCTCAAACTGTGTTCTTCCCTTATGTGACAGACCAAAGTTTCACACACAGATAAAACAACTGGTAAAATTATAGTTTTGTATATTTTAACCTTCATGTACTCAGACATACAGGAAGACAAAAACTTCTGAATTACATGATAGCAAGCATTCCCTGAATTTAGTATGATCCTAATCTTCACATGAATGAACCCTTTTTACTTTTTCACATTTTAAAAGGATTTATTAGCTCAGTGAAACGACCTTCAAAATGTCTTTGATGCCAGTGAAGAAGCTGAAAATTTCAAAGTTATGGAAGGCACTAATGCCATGACTGATGTCTGTATATGCTACGTTGTGACTTGGTATTTCTCAGCTGCCGTGGCACCACACATTCTTTCAGGATGTAGTATACAAGTCTATCACAAGAAAGTATGCTGTTAGCAGACATGTGGCAGCAAAGACGAAACATCTGAGTCTCATCAGAACACAAAATGGCATCCTTCATGCCACCATAATGTGCCCGATTTGTATGCAACAGACAAGATTCAGAACCTCGGTCAAAACAGAAGTTACCACAGTTGAAATTTTGTTTTTTTTCTTAATCTGTGCATATTAACTTGACAGTACCTTCAAGCACATAATAATTGCTTTCTTCCTATTCATTTGTACTACACACAACATCCTCTCATCATATATTATGTCTACTCAGTGGATACAGCATTTACATAATCATCCATAGCATTGAAGTAAACATTATCAAGCACAGGGGCTGTTATTCTGATGGTACATAATGTTATGCTTGTCAGTTCCTTTATCATAAAACATAAAAACAAAAAGAATACATAAAAAATTAAGGAAAAATGTTATGTTGAAATAAGGCAAAGAATTGTTTTATTTCACATTTACAATGCTTGAAATTTCTGGGTGATGCACTGGCAATATGTTTTGTTGCCTCATTCCTTTATCACCTGAGAATGACAAAATTCTTTGTAGAAAAAATGTTATCTACCAGACAAGATGGTCAACATGTTAAAACAAAAGGACGCACCAAAAAGAAAACTGCAACTTTAACAAAGCAGATACCGTCTATGCTACTTGACTAACAAAACAATGCAATGTTGTTGCAAACTGCAAATGGACGGTCAGAGTAACAACAATTTAATAAATCACAACAAATAATATTTGATACTTCACAATACATTCTTTAGAACTGCATACTACGTAAAAATAAACTCACCGTAAAAAATATATATATATATACACATACAAATATATATGTTGGCACAGCATGTTTTGTTATTGTAAATTTGGGAACATTATTTACATTTACATTCTAAAATGTGACATTGCATACAGAACTGATTTACTGATTGTGTGACTGATACCGAGCATACACATACATTTCAACAACATTATATACACAATAATAAATACTAATACTGTAGATACAAGATCATACTTTGTACATTAAACACATAAAATGTTACAATTATTTTGTAATGGGAATTCTCAGAATCTGTACATTTGTGAAACTGGCAGATATATGGATACATGTATAATAGGAGCTGTCAACATGCTATGAGGAATGATTTCAGCACACATACAACTTTATGTCATACCTCTTTCCAACAGACAGGCTAATCAATACAGAAAAGAAAAATTAAATTAATTAAGAACTCTCCTATAATTATGTTAATTTTAGTTGCATGAAAAAATACCCAGCACTGTTCATGAGCTGTTCCAAAATAATGTGAGCAATTCTTGTTTCCCCATGTGTGGTATCTTACCATATCAACCTTCTTCACTTGTAAGATTCTCATAAGGTTCTCTCAGCAGTGAAGGTGTTGATGTTGGTCTTGTTAAAACCATATAACTCTTCAGTGGCCTAGATTTCATTCCTCTGATCTGGTTGGCCTAGTCATTCAGTTAACCCTTATCCACTTCCCAACAACTGCACTTTACATTCTCACTGAATTTGGTATATGAATGAAACTAATTAGGTTAATCAAAATTTAATAAGATGAAGAAATCTACAGTAAATTCTACATAGGTAAACTTTCATCTGATACATTTCCTATTCAGAACAAATAAGCTCTATTAGATGCTAATAAGGAATTAGTCTAGAAGCAAATGCAGAGAGAACTGAATAAAATGTTCATGTCTCATCACCAGACTGCAGGACACAATCATTATATAAAGGTAGCTAGGAAATACTTTGAAAAGTGGCATAGTTTAAAGATCTGGGAACAATGGTAACAAATCAAAAATGAATTCATGAATAAACTATGAGCAAACCAAATTCCAGGAATGCTCACTACCAAGCAGTTCAGAATCTTTTGTCTCCCCATATGCTGTCTAAGAATATGAAGATAAAGAACCTATAATTTTGTGCCTCACTTTAAGGGAAGAATAGAGGTTAAGGGTTTTGAGAACAGAGAGCTTAGGAGAATATATGGATTAATGAGGGATGAAGTGATAGGATGCTAGAGAAAACTGCATGAGGAACTTAATTGGATTAATGAGGGATGAAGTGATAAGACGCTAGAGAAAACTGCATGAGGAACTTAATATTTTATATTGTTCACCAAGTATTATTAGAGTGATCAAATCAAGGAGGATGAGACAGTCACGGCACGTAGCATGCATTGGGGGATGAGAAATCTATACAACATCGGTTGGAAAACCTGAAGGAAACACACCATTCAAAGACCTGGACGTAGATGATAAGAAAATATTAATATCGATCTTAGGGAAATCAGGTTTGGGTGTGTGGATTGGATTCATCTGGTTCAGGATAGGGACCAGTGTTAGGCTCTTGTGTGAATGTCAATAAATCTTTGTGCACCATAAAATGCAGGAACTTCCCTGATTAGCTGAGCATGCTATTAGCTTCTCAAGGACTCTACTCCATGGAGTTATTTAGTTATAAACAAATGAATATTATTACATCTAACATAAGACATTCACTGTAATTGAAAACAGTTCCTATTTAATGTTAATATTCATGGTCAGTTCTCTAGTTTACAGTTGCAATCCAAGGACTAAGCAAAGCAGATCCTGTGGCTTATAAAGCTCCTGCAGTGAGAAGTAGTGAACAAAAAAATATTTGGAAATGATTTTGAATGTATGTTACACATAAAAAGCATATCTGGATAATGTTGGGCCTTACTTTCATACTCACCCATTGATATTCTTCCAGAAAATTATCTAAAATAAGCTGATATTACATTTGTAATAATCAAAAAACTGTTAATACTTATTTTATAACCACTAAATCACATCTCTGAGAACAAACAATCAAAACACATCTTGTAAAGAAACCAATTAAATACTTCTTTCTGGAAAAATATCAATCACATTAACAGGACCTTTTTAGCATAAATAAACAAATGCTTTATGCATTAGATAAGTTATAATGAAGCATTATGATATTAATAAAAATTACAATTTTTATACTAATAGAATGATACTAAATGTTAAGAAGTATTAGATGATTTTTCTTTTTACTTTCTATTTATGACCATTTATGGAGCTATACCTCTTACAAACACAACTCCTTCTGCTGCCTATGAGAGAGTCTCCCAAAGTACCTACCTATTCAACAGAATATGCAGGTTCAAACCATGACCTGAACAACAAATTTTTGTTCATCTGAAATGTATATCGCTTAAGTGTGGTTGGATGGATTTTTGTTCACTGGCAGAACTAGGTAAGTGTGCCACATGTTTCCTGCCAATGTAATATGTAGTGGACATTATGAAGCACTAACAGATAGAAGAAAACTGGAATGTACATTGGTTTCTTCTCAAAATATTAAATAGCATGTATGTATGGTTCCTATTTTTGTTGGAAACAGGTACATGAATTACCACATTGCTTTGCAGTGATTAGACTAAAGCTTTGCCTGTGGTGCTGTTAGCTCAATACTTTATTGCATATTTTAATTTTAAATATGTCATTACTGTATGTTATTATGTTAGAACAGACAGTCCTTTTAATTTTACTATTTTATACTGTGCTATGAAAAGTAAAGGTTGATGATTAATTCTATCTTCTAAAATTTTAATTCAAATATGAACAAACTGCACCACCAACTTAACAGGAATATCTTCCAACAAGAGTCCCATACACACAGAACCAAATCAAATAGCTTAGTAAATATGTTCATTCAGCTCAAAGGTCCCAGCTGAAGAGACAAGATTCTGAGCCCTAGAGGTCCCAACTGAACAGGTGATGCTTCACCAGCATGTCTTGGACTCCGTCCTTCAGCGGTTGCGATTGCTCCTTCCTTGCTGGCAATTCCCAATCAGGATTCAGGTTGAATGCGAACTGAGAGAGGATCCGGAGTTCACACTTGATCTGCACCCAGCCTGGGCTGTATACAAAGCTCCACGGCTGGTACCTGCAACCATATGCGGGTGATGCAAATGCCGACAGATTTAATTTTTAGAATAGATGTATGAGAAATCACCCTCTGCATATCATTCTAAAGTGAGTTCCTGATTAACTATAAGAATCAAGGTCTTACATTAATCAGACAGGCCTTAATACCTCCTTCTCTGCTGCAATACATATAACTTCATAAAAGTGCTGAAGATGGCACAACCTATGAATAGAAGCTGCTTGAAGGATCACTGAAATAATTAAGTATCATCAAATGCTTCACTTCTAACCCTTGAATTTAATTTGTTTATATTAGGGTCATTAAATGTCAAGTCAACAAATGGATGTGACATCAGTCACAGAATTTAGTAACACTTGTCAATCTTAATGTGTGATTCCTTATGAAGTAGTGCACAAGCACAGAGCTTCCCTAATATCAGCAATTCATAGCTATCAGTTTTCAGGAAGTATACACAAAAGAAAATGTCACACATGCAAGTTTCACAAAGTTAACATGGCAATAACTCTGGAATCTTTATCTAAAATCAGAACTTTTCAAAGTGTAAACAGTTTTGTTTGTATGCATGATTTTATATATTTTAGATAAATATTCAACACAGCATAGTATGCAAGATTTTAAGATCTGGAATCTTTGATTAGTTTTACATTATTTTACCAGGAAATTGTAGATCCGTGAGAATATCTGTAAGGCATATTTACTTCACTGTTGTTGTTAACCTATAACAGTATGCAATTTAGTTTAAACTAACAAAAAAATTACATAATTTTCATAAACTAAACAAAACTGAACATTTGTGAGCATGTGTTGGTGTGTTCAGTGTTATAGCAAGTTTGGCAGACTGCATATATTAAAATTGTCAGTATTGGACATTTGTTTTTATATGTATAAGAAAATCCACACTAGGCAAACACAAGCTGGACATTTGTTTACTATTTATGAATAACTAAGACCTAAGTGTAGTTAGTACGTATTAAAAAATAACCCAGTATTCTGTTTGTTAAAAACCTGCTAATGACAGCACCTTACACTAAAGCAAGCATGCTCTCCATGTAACAATGGTAGCTCGCAACATTTTGACTGTCATCAAAATGTCTCCTGTTTTCTCCAGATATTTGACATTTAAATGCCAAATAATATGTTGAGATATTTTTAAAAGAAGCAAAATTTCTTATAACAGAACTAGCTTTATTTAATGGGGACCACGGTATGGACACTATTTCTATCTCAAGCCATACTTCAAAATATTATTTTACCTAGACAACGGTCAATGTTCAAGTAAAATTCCCTTATGATAACAACGAATGTTGCTGAGATACAATTATCAATACCGTTGAAATTGATAGAATTAGTTTCTTGGTTTGGCAGTTATGAAAGATTCTTCTCCCAAAATGGTTTGAGCAACAAACAAATTATAAAATATTAATTTTCATGTGCAAAGATATTTTTAAAAGCTTCAAAGGATGGAAGTTCCTTACAATGTCTGAGAGTCTGAAATACAGAACAAGGAATCTTGATATTAAAAGAAAGTGACAAAGAACTCACCATTTCTGAACTACTTCAACACAGGAACAAAGAACCTCAAGCCAGAGATGGAGTACTTGCTCATTCAGTCCCAGACACACTAAGCTGCGTAACTTGACATCCATTTGTGCATGTGCATTGTCATGTGATAGGTTTATGGCTTGTACACACCTGTACAAAAGCTATGAAAAAAGAGAATGAAAATGAATCACAAGAACCATGTACTGCTTTTAACATGCGTCTATGACAGATTTGTTCAATGTGTTGTTTTTGTCAGTCATATTTCACAAAATCTCTTGTTTACACAAATTAATGATTCTTAAACACACAGAGTAATAAGAGAAATATTATACAGGTAATTTAAACAATATAAAACAATTAGTGTTTAACTTAAATGTTACTCCTCTTCCTCAGAATTAATAATAATTGTTTTAGAGCAAGCTTTTCTTTTGTACAGTATCTTAAATTCTAATATTATTATTGTATATGTTACTCAGCCACCTCCCATGATACTGATTGCATGCATTCCTTTGTTTCCTGAGCTACATGCCATAATAGTCTCAACCAACACCTGTATTATTATATTCTGTACAGTCATAATCACCTCCTCAGGTGTGAGCACTTTGCCATCCTCGTCCAAACGGTACGTCTTGCACAACACCAATCTGCTATACACTGAACTAAAATCTCTTTCTACCTCCTTGGCAGCTGCCTCTTCAATGAAAAGCCATGGATGACAAGGGCCCCCTGCACATAACACAAACTATGTTAAGAGTAAAATCAAATTTAGGGTCCATAAAATTTCATCAGTTTAGTCCTGTATGAGTAGTGGATTACGCCATACTGGGATACTGGGAACGACCCGTTCTTCAAGTGCCTGAGGACTGCGGGTCCCAACTTTTTTTTTCATTGGCTTGATCTATGGACATTCGGTAGGACTCCTTGGACGAGGGATCGGCCCGTCGCAGGATTACCCCCATATAATTTTTATATCTTGATTTTGTACAGTGTGTTAAGAAGCTGAGATAATCTTACACACACCACACTGATAACACGTAATGGTACTTGTCCATTATCCACTTTGTTTCTTTTCAAACTTGTGCTCTGTTTATTATTGTATTGTCAAATATAAATGTTCAGTCTTAGAAAATTACATTTTGTGTTAGTAAAATTAATACAATTAGTTTACGAGTCATCATTTGTAAGAATATTATTTATTTAAACATGATGTGTCACTGCTATGACAATATAATATTCTGCTACACATAATATAATGTTAATAAGCAATTTTGCGAATTTTGTTACTTATAAATTTCATATAATGTCAGTAAAAGGTGAAGAGTATCCACTCTACCTCAAGTGCTTAAAATTAAAGCCAAGGCAGGAAACTTAATTAGTTAATGCACTAGTGGCAACATAGTAACAAGACTTGATGAAAAAAGTTTGGTGAATCATTACAAGATGAACAGGAACGAAAAAAATGTCAGGTGGCACATATGACGGGAACCCTCACACATGCACTTTTACTGATCGGCCTGTTTGTTGTATTATCGCCTGTCTCTCTCTCTCTCTCTCTCTCTCTCTCTCTCTCTCTCTCTCTCTCTCTCTCTCTCTCTCTCTCTCTCTCTCTCTCTCTCTCTCTCTCTCTCTCTCTCTCTCTCTCTCTATATATATATATAATTTGAATGGGATTAATGATGGGATAGGAACTGAATCATTCACTAAGCTTTCTGATGAAGCCTTGTCATGTTATTTTATTATAATTTTTAGCATCTCTTAGGGAAAAAATTTGCCGAATATCCGAAGTCACTTAGAAAATGAATATTGCAGTAAAATATTACTGAATTTCACTTATAATGACGTTCTCAGGTTTCAAGATCATTCTGAATATCTAAAGTACAGTAGACAACATGGATTTTTTTAGAAAAGAACAAAATTCTATGTCAGCAATAGAGTATGTGTTTCCTTTATAGACTAGTAGGTTTTATTTAAATAGATTATATGTGCCTACAGTCCAGGTTTAGTCAGGAACAAATAGGCCACTTTAACAACAGACTAACCAAGACTTTAGGATGCATGCTTGAATGTTCCTATCACTTACCCCTTCACAGCTCATGTGAAAAAACGTAAGAGGAAAAACTTACCGAGAAAATTTGGTCTCTTCATACCATGTTCAAGTACCTGCTTTACAGCTGGACAGAGTGTTCCTCTGACCAAATCTGTAACAGCCTCAGACACACTGTCATCTCCAGCGCATGAATACTGTTTGCTGCGTTCATCCAGCAGCTCAACAAATTTGGCAGGAAACCAACCTATTATAACAAACATATGTTGTCATGTAAGAGGTGGCATTCAAGAGTTATGAGAATGCTCCTGCAACAACATCTGTGATAACAGTATGAGTTTTTTCAGTCAGGTGATGACAGTGTATACTTCCAGAAGAACTTTGCCTCATGTATGCCATTTTGTGTTATGGAGCTGTTTTGTGAAGGTATGCCAACATGTTCTAAAACATTCTTAAATGAGATATTCAAGTGATTAAAGAGCCTGCATCAAGTTTTGTTTGAAGCTTGATAGAACACTTTCTGAAATATGACATGTTATGGAGAGCCTTTAGAGAAGCAGACATATACAGATGTCAGGAGGTTGTGAAAAGACAGAACACTACAGTAGTAACCTTACAAAGTGATGGCTTGCTAAAGTTGAAATATATGTATATGGATGATGACTAAAACAAATTAAATACTTAAACTTTGAAAATTAAATATGAAAGCAGCAGATCTTAAATACCCAACAGCAACATGTGCTTCATAAATGTAAGAAATATCAGTATAATACTTACCTCGCAATCCATTGAGTTCACCAACCCAACAGTGTTCATCTTTCTGGCTGACTATTGTGATGATATCATTTTTTCGAAAGCCAAGTTCATCATCATCATGTCGCTCAAAATCTGTTCCAAAATAAGTAGAGAGTAATTTTGTAAATGTTAATAAAACATAGTTTAGTGCTACAAATAAACTTGGAATAGGGAATGTATAATGAAAAAGTTGGTGAAATTAGAATACAATAGTACAGACACAAGTTATTCATAGAAATGTATTATTTACAGTTGCAGTTAACAGGTTAAGATAACTAACAGAAATGCAAAACGTTAGCTTAGGAAACCCGAAGGTTCATCACCGAACTCACCAAAGCCCTCCACCAGACCCTGTCCTGGGCCAACAAAATCCACTCTCCTTCAACTCCTACCTCCCATAGATTCTGCCTGAGATTATCCTCCCATCTACGTTTAGGTCTCCCCAGCAGTCTCTTCCCTTCAGGTTTCCTAACCAGTACCTGGTGCACACCTCTTGTCTCATCCATGCACGCTACATGCCCAGCCCATCTCATTCTTCTTGACTTAATCACCCTGACAATATTGGGGGAGGAGTACAAATTTTTAAGTTCGTCATTATGCAGTTTTCTCCATACCCCATCGTCTTCTCTCCTTGGCCTAAATATCCTCCTCAACACCCTATTCTCACACACCTGCAATCTGTGTTCCTCCCTCAGAGTGAGAGACCATGTTCACACCCATACAAAACAGGCAGATTTATTGTTTAATATATTTTAATCTTCAGGTTCTTAGAAATCAGACGGGAAAACAGAATATTTTGAACTGAGAAGTAGCAAGCATTTCTGGAATTTAGTCTCCTCCTAACTTCCTCATGAGTATCATTTTGATTTGCTATTGTTCTTCCCAAATATTAGAACTTTGTCACACTTTCAAAGGATTTATTAGCCAGCCTAAGACAATTCTGCCCACCTATCTGCTGATGAGATACTAACATGTACTTAGTTTTTCTGAATTTCCGTGTTCCTCTTTATTGTATTTATATCACCCAATAAATTAACATCATTAGCATATGCCAATAGCTGATGTGTCCCATTCAATTGCAAACCCTCCTGCATATCTTGGACTTTCCTGATGGCATATTCTAGCGCAAAGTTAAAGAGCAAGGGAGACTCACCGGTTTCCTTGGTACACCAAATTCAATAAGAATATTGTACAGCAATTCTCTTTTCACAGAGTCATAAGCTTTTTGAAATCTATAAATAATTTATGTATTCCCACTGATGATCCCCAATAATTTCATTCACATATGGAGTTAATCTAGCCAGAAGAACCTTTTGCCACCTACTTTAATATGACACTCAAATTAAAATTAATAAAACTACAATTTAATTTCATATACTCACCAAGCAGGGCTTTAGCACGTCTCTTACGTGTGCGAGAAACACTGACGTAGTTGTCATGGTCACGGGCATGACTGTCCATACTATAATCTGGCACCAGTGCCACTTTGTTCAGTTTGGGATCCACTGACATGAAATGACGAGCCACCTGTAGAATTGCCTCACGCAAATCTACAAGTATTTCTACAAATAGAAAACACATTAGAATTTATTGAACAAAAGAACACTAAATAAATTTGTGAAAGGCCATTTTAGACACTTTTGGTTTTTGTTTCATATGTATTACAACTTAGATAATTTGTTGCAATTTGTGCAATGGTGATAGCAACTATTTTAACTTACATTTCATATGTGATAAAATACACAATACAAAGACATCTTAGGGGGTCTTGAGAGCAAGAAGCAGACTTCTGATATTTTCATAAATGCTTGACATCAGAAGCAATATAGTTATACCACCATGACTCAATATCAAATCTTCATTTGTGTTAAGAGGTTGAACAATGCATTGAAAATGACATGTGGATAGAAAATACTGTATGAGCTGTGCCCTCACATTTATCAGAAGACTGAAACAGGACATAAGGCACAAATTTGAAAAAATGTAGATAAGATGATGGAATTAGAGGTTCAAATCCTGCTCATAGTTTGGATGTTCCAAAATTATATTCTCAAAATGTTTCCTCATTAAACCATACACATTCTTCCCTGTTTCAGGCAGACTACTCCACAAAAGTGCCTGTATGTAAAAGTGGTGTAATTATTGTTATCAGTATATGATTACTACAATGTACATTCACTGAAAGCCTAGATACTTTACCAAACCACACAGTATATAAGCATAAGAACATATAGGTGAGATGAAGAAGCAGAAAAGTATGTTGATCTTCAGAAAATGTCACTATTTTTCCGCTTAACAACGCCCATTTTATACATAACTGAGGTAAACATATTTTAATAGTAACAACTACTATCTAAAATACACATACCAGTCTGGCGAATGTTTTTTGATTTGATATCATCCTCATTTGTCTCGTCTCCAAACAAGAGAAGTTGTATCACAGACTTTGATTTCTTGATTTGTCGTCTAAAAGACAAAAATAAAACACAACATTTAATGCCAGATATGAAGCTGGCTGTACTACCAGGCTCATCTTATTTATTTTATTTGTAGTTTATTTAATGATGCTATCTGTAGCTCAGACTATAAAGTGTCAAATGACAAGATATAGAAGAAAGTGATCATGAAGTAATTTAAGGCACTATCCTGCATTTGGTGGAAAATTAAGGAAACCCTCGATCAAGATAGGTGGTCTCTATGCCAAGATTTGAACCCAGAACCTACCAAATACAAAGCATGAATACTAACCATTCAACCATGTTTTGGTGGCTCCAGCTTGTTCTTACAGAGATATTTATTGTCATCTTGCCAAACAATGATATGGAGACTGTGTAAACTGCAGTATAAAATTACAGGATGGTTACATAAAGTTAACTGGAAAGGAATGGACAGAAAGCTTACCATGCCTAATGTATTAGAATGTACTAAAATAAAATGTCCCTTGGCTTGCTTAACACACTAGAACATGGTATACAAAGGGACATTCAAATTAACTGCTCAAACAGAATCAGGATATAGTAAATTCAAATGAGGCAGCATTTGCTTAGGATGACAGTAACAAATGATGAGCTCAGTGCTCAGCCAAGATGATCTTAATACCTCCTGAATGCAATCTGCATCAGAAGTCATAAGCTGGTTTTAAATCCATTCCATAGGGATCATCTGTTACTCATATGAAAAATACTGACACATACTTTGCTGGACAATGCACACGTTTCTCTTTGAAAAGCAAAACTACTCTTTATATGGATGGATGGTGGTCCTCTGAGTTATTGTGCCATACCATTCTGGCAATGTATGCCAACATTCCGAGAAACACAGTACCTATAACATGCTGGCACAACTGTATGCACAACAACCAAGAAAGCAACCAATCATCTGCATTCACATTGCCATGAAGACCTAAATACCTACGCCTGTTAATTTCTCATTTGTGCAGAAGGTAAAATTACAATATGGTGATTGTCTCAAAACTATAATTACTGTTCAGTCTGATACTGTTAGCTGGCAACAGACTTTTATTTTGTGAATTAAGTTTCACAAATAAGGTTATGCGAAACACTGAGATTATGTCAGATGTATTTCAAGTAAAGACCACGATGCATCAAGCTAAACAGTTTTGACAATTTATGCCAACTTATCTACACAATGGAAACAGCAGAAGGGAACTGGGTATTATAAGTTCTTCCTGAAACTTCCTAATTTAGAACTATGACATGTGTAATAAGTGGAAACATATTTAATTTGTTTTCAACACTCCAGTAAACATGTCTAACAAACTTCATTGAGCAGTGGCCTCAACCTTGAGGCCACTGCTAATAGCAACTCAGCCAGTCACAAAATTCCCTACCTTTTATAGAATTCAAAGATATACTTCTGTGTCTTCACAAGAATATGTCACTGATGTCTATCCTGAATCTTCTTTGGGCCATTCAAAAGAATCTGTCAAGCCTTTAACATGTACAATTTTTATATCAAGGGGTTGTCAGGCCATGCCCAATCCCGAAACTGGACAACAATCTTATGCTGGCTGTCCACAACTGCTTCTTTAACATAATCTCATAACCCTCCAAATCCAAAAATCTTCTCCTCTATGTGCAATCTAAACTTGAAATCTGTCACACAGTTTGTCACGTGAGGCCTGACCACTACATTGCAGTATGTCTATACCAGCATAAACCATAAATAAACTGCGAGTCATTCCTGAATTTCTCACACAGTTCATTAAAAATGCCTAAGAATTCATTCCATCCATCCACGTGCACAGAATTGACAGTCATTCAGAAACTATTCAAGAAATCCTTCACCTTTTATGGAATCTGAATGTTCATTACTGTGTTCACAAGATCCCACCATTAGACCCTTGAAGGTGAAGAGACAACTTGAATCCAGTACACCCCTTATTTCTTTAAGATGCATTTTAACATTATTATCCCATCATTAGCATCACAGAGCTCCAAAACTATCACTTCCATTGAGGTTTTCCAACTGAAATTTTGTAAACATCTCTCATCGCCACAAATGTTCCCTCACATGCCTTGCCCACATGTTCAACATTATATAACTGCTCATGAAGCTTATAATTTTGTAATTTTCTGTCTAACCTGAAAACAAGTTAAACTGCATCAGTTGTATCACTGCAAAAAAGAGAATGTTTCAATTCTTATGACAAAATTATAGACACTATTACCATTTTTGTGATGACTTACATTCAGTTAAAAACTCATTCTACCAAAAATTACTTAAGCTGGATGAAGCAGATCAAATGAATTAGCTTGAGTCATATTAAATCGTTGGATTTAAAAAGTTCCTGGGATGAATCCCAGAAACAGCTATCTTAAATGAGGATAGTGAATGATGAGATTGGGATATTGTTTTAATTCTTCCCCCAGAATTCATACAAATCCCAGATGCTGTGATAATCCTCAGAGCAGAATGTGACTTCAAGCATTAGCATGTCTAGTTTGTATTTAGAATATACTCAGTTGAAATCTTGGCCATGACACTCACAGTGCTGAGTCTCTCTTAAACATATTCAATGCAGTACTCCTTACTCCTTTCTAATTCAGTGCAAATTATTATTTGCTCAACTTCTGATAATAAATACAGCATTATTAAATAAGCCACAAACCTCCACAAGCAGGAGAAACATATCTGAGACTGAAAGTTTATAGCAACAAAAACCTGAACACTCACAAACACCTTTAACTTCATATGTTATGCAAATGTGATAGTGAAGCAAGGGAAAAGCACACAATATTGGTGATTGAAGAAGACATCGCCAAATACTTCTCTGCCACCCTGAAAATGCTGTTCCTGTACAGACATTGTCTATATTGCTTAAACCGGTTGAAATTCACCCAATTAAGTTCATCCTGAGAAACTACCAAAATTTCTCCTTGTTTCTCTTTAACTCTTCTTCTGAATAGAGGTTCATCATGCATACTTTATCCTTAAAATAACCCCATAAATAGGACAGATGAGGTAAGTTCAAATGAATGTGTTGACCACAAACCACAGCATATTATTTTCTCACCAACATCCTTTCCAAAGTCGTTTGTGGTGTAAGCTACATCAGAAAAGAAAGTCAAATGAGGGTCAGCTCAACTGTGTTGAACTGACTGCAAAGACCAATTGCAGAAAGCAATCTTGTTGGCCAAATCACGTGGTTGCAAAGCATAAACTACAGTCACCTTGCACAGACAAAGTTTAAGTAGCTTCTTCATTTTTGTTGCTGATGACTTCAAGATGCTGGTCTCTTGTGCAACGTGTCTCAGTAATATCTGTGGTGTGTTATAATCCAGCTTGCATTTCATCTAGTTTCTCTTCAGTAAGTGTACAACTCTTTCTTGGCCACAAGTGACCCATTAAACCTGACTCTATTGTTAAGTTCATGGATTTCTATTGTGCTTGGAACCACAATTCTGGGAAATATATAACCTTTTCTCTGATACTTTCTATCATAACTACATTTCATATACGATTCATACAGATAAAACACACTGTTTAACAGTATATAAAAACACCCACGTGAACAAAAACAAACAGTAATTAACACAATGTCAGACATAGCTGCATTGTTGGGTAACTAATTTTAGTGGCAACTAGTGCTAGCAATTGGTGGTAAGCCATGCAATTCGTGGTTGAGTTTAATTTTGTCAGTGAATGCACTGTACAAAGCAAATGAGGCATGAACAGAAAAATGTATTTATTAAACCTCAAAATAATACGGTCATTAACAAGCAAGATAAAATTATCAGAACCACAAACAATGAGCTGTAAAACACCAAGCATGCAAATTGAGTAAAAATTTTTAATGTTAAATAGAACAAGAAGCAAGACAATGTGACAACATGCAAATTCCTGTGCCAGCAAATTAACACAAAATGATTTAAAAGCAGTACATACTAAATCTGAGTAACAGTTAGGACAAATTACATTAGAGATCATGAATAATTTTAAGCATACTGTATGAATAGCAAATCCACCATCACAATATCCATATTAACAAAGCATAAGAGCAATGAAATGTAAAGATGCAACAGCATGCACAGCAATGCTAACCTAACCTGCACATTTGAACTACGCACAGTGATCACAAGAGACTACAGGCTAAAGCCATAACCAATCTGTTTTCCCTTTAGGTTGAATTTTAATTTACATGCCCTAAACTTTTTCTCTGAAAGTTATTTGTTCACTTTTCTCCTCAATCTGTTCTTTCTCCTCTGCAGAACCAGAGGCTCTATGTTATTTTCTTTTATCTGTTCTACATAGGTAAAACTACTGGGCATCCTCAGAATAGATTTCAACAGATCAACTACCATGCATCAGTTTGCTTTTTCTGATACTGGAGAAAAAAAAAGAGAGTATAATGGGACAGTACATCAGCAACTTCAACAGTCTTCAACTCAAGACAGAAGTATTGTACAATGTCTGTATTCTGGCATAGCTACAAAAGTAGACAGATCAATAAAACATGTTTAACCTTTATCTTACTAGCGTTCCCTGTCTGGGACGTAAGTTGTGTACTCAGCCCTATGAACGTTCCCGGTGTGGAACTCAAAACTTGCAACATTGTAAGTAGACTTGGCTATGTCTTTTGGCCTCTTTTAGGGGCTGCAAATATTGAATCACTTTCTCTAGGGTTCTGATAAGTTCAACATGAGCTGTCAACCCGGGAACTATAACCATAAGCAGGAATAAACATTGTTATTGTCAAGTGGGTTTCAGGCTTCGTTTTCAGACCCCCTATTCAAAGTTTCTCACATTCTTCCTGATGATGGGTGAAAAAAATGTGTATCCACTGAAGTAGCGGAAACAAATTTTTCTGTGTGGTCATTAGTTCACAACCATGGCTTCTATCATGTCGAATGAGCTTCCAAAGAAGAAAGTAGAGTTACTAAGGCCTATTTAGGCAATTAAGATATTAACTGCATTTTTAAAAAACTCTATGTATTCTCTGTTCTATTCGAATAAATATGGCTTTTATTTTGTCAATTTATCATGTTTACTTTAGATAATATTGAAGTTTTCCGTAGAGCGTGCACAAAAGTTTAAAAAACTGCAAAAAAACTCCGTAGGGCTGCTACCACTTTGGCATTTAAATCCCCGTCATTTAAAGGTTAAACAAAATCTGCAGTAAAGCGAACACAGGCACATCTATCTGATGCATTTCTACATTTTACACTAGCAAATGCCACTTCAAAGGCGCATGTGAGCGCGCACACACACACAAAACACACACAAACAAACCCAAACTGAACACGGCACATCAATCAGTTTCTGGTCTATTTACTGTATGACAACACAAATAAAAATACAGATGTTCAATTAGATATTAATAAGAAAGTTGTTCTAGAGGTAATCACTGAGGGAACCTGGCATATGTTCATGTCTGATCACCGGAATGCATGATAAAATTATAATCAATAGCTAACAAAGCCTTTGAAAACTTGGCAAATTTCAAAATTAGCCAATGACAGTAACAATTTAATATTATATTCATGAAGAAATTAAGGGCACATTAAATATGGGGAATGCTTTCATCTATTCAGTTTAGAATTATTTGTCCTTGTGTCTCCTGTCCAAAAATATAAGCGTTAAAACATACAAAAGTATATATTTATCTGTTTTGTCTGAGTGTGAAATTTGGTTTCTCACATTAAGCGAAGAACACAGACCGAAAGTGTCTGAAAACAGAGTGCTGAGGAGAATTTCTGTAGTGAAAAGAATGAAGTGACAGATTGCTGGAGAGAAATGCATAAAAGGAGCTTTATGATTGTTATTCTTCATCAATTGTTATCAGGGTGATCAAATTGAGGAAGACTACATAGACAGGACATGTGCCAGGCACACAATGGATGAAAAAGCATAAAAACTGGTTAGAAATCTGACCTCTCTCCCTTTATCAGTTACTGATTCTTTTATAATGGCCCTACCTTCCTTACAAGTTCTGTTTCAGCACCTTTCTTCTTGTGTCATTACTTCTTCACCATCGTGTAATATAGCTCAAGTTTTCCCAAACTGTTTTCTTCTCCTCTGTAATTACAGAGTCTGTTTTTATCTTATCATGACTTATGTATGTTCATCAGATTTATTCTCCTGTGTAGCTACTCATTTAATAACACATACTACAGGCCCAATAATCCCAACATCATCTTTTTTCCACTCACTGAAGATTTTTCTAATTTTCCCCTTATATCATTATTTGACATATCTTGCACATCCCTCACAAGTGTAATTTCCTATACATCTTAACAAGATGGTGTCCTCTTCAGTCAAAAACGTACCTGACTCCCTCATACGATGATAATCATAATTTATATAAACTGAGCCTCTGGAATCCTTCATATCCTCCTTGCTGACTGCCTCAGTGCAACCCAAAGCTTTCTTCCTACAACTGCAGCCTATGTCTGCTTGTCATGTGTCTTCCACGCCCAGGCAGGAACATAGCAAACACAGCCATGAAATACAGCAAGCACAGATGCAAAGAAGTGCCACAGTCTCTGTAGGTACCCTGACCTGCTAAGATGCTGTTTCGGAAGATTTCGTGCAGCTTCAGGGTTCCCCACTAGTGCCCCTCGATCAGCCATCAGGTATGCCAGGTGGCGCCGTCGATGAGTTTCCATCACCATATCACTGAGTGATGCTGCCACCATAAATGAGATCTATACAGCAAATACAAGAAAAATGTCAGTATAACCTAATACCAAATGTGTTACAATTTTTAGAATGACACATAAGATATTTGATGTTTGCTTTAGAGGGTTAAAAATGTAAGTAACTAATTCTGTTGGAACAGCATTCTTTAAGCAAATGACAGTTAATCAGCTGGCCAAGGAAATCTTTGTTTTTTTATAGGTGCTGATTGTGCATCAACAAGTTCACAGAAGTTTGCCAATGACACTTCTTGTGATCTACAAACATAGCACATGCCTTGCCCAACCCCCTAGCAGCAACAATTCAAGATTTCTACTGTAGTTCACTACTAATTCAGATCCTGTTTCTGGGTGGTGGCAGCTGTATATGCAGACAGTACTCAAGAGATCCCTACTGACTCCGTCTTCAAGGTGAAGTGAGCAGCAAGTAACCCTTGTTAGTACTGACAGCACAAGCCAATGGTAATCGAAACAGAAAAATAGAACCTCAAACTCATTCTGGGGATGGGGGAAAGAAGGTGTAAATGAGTGAGACATCTGGAATGGTGGAAAACTTGCATGGAACGGGCAGGGATGAAAGAAAGGAACACAGATAAGAGAAATGAGTTTGGAACGACAGATAGCATTTCCAGTATATGTTGTAATCTGGTACTTTTTATTTGTAATGTGTTTAGGCTATAGATTTACTGGTTACACTAGCAGTCCAAATCTCAGGGATCCTAACTTGATGAGAGGAGTGTCTGACTCTTTCACCTGAAAGGTTAAATGATTTCTGGCTGTGCTTGCAAGAAGCTTACTGTATAAGAAAGTGTAACTCACCTGTGGCTCACAGAGATTGCCAGGCTAGAGGCAGGGCAATGAACTTGCACACAATGATGCACTCAACTTTCTGGATATTGATAATTCACTGGAAAATCACTATTTTCCCATCTCATATGCACAGTACCTAGGTCATTGCAATGCTTATGACAGGTGGGATAACCTAGAAGTCGTATTATGGCTGGACAATGTACAGCCATACAGAACTAGACATGAACACGTTAGCACTAATGATAAAAGCCCCTCTACTAAAAAACAAAGCGGCTGTTCACAATGAAGTGACATTCTTTTCCACAGTTAGTAGATAAGAATAACTGGGTAGTTTGAAGTAAAGCCCAAGTTTAAAAATTAAAATACTTCCACTACTTAAAAATGTAGGTCTTATTTAAAATCTGAAAATTACAGTTTCTGCAATTTTCAGTTGCACAGAGCGCTAGAACAAGCCTTGAAAACATTCTTACATCTAACAGATGATCGACGTCTTCAATGTCACCTGGTATGTCTGAGAGAGCATTAAAAATCTCTGCTGAATTTTCCAGCTGCCTAAGATCTGGTTCTGGAAACAAAATTTAATAAATTCATTGATTACTTTCGGTTACTTAAATAAAATACGACATACTATTATCCACCTTACTATCAGTTGCCTGGGACAATGGAGAGGGCAGGGGGCACAAAGAACAAGAAAACATGGATAAACCAAAATTAGCTTATTTTTAGCTTACAGATGTCGCACCACAAAGTATTCATGCTAAAGTTTACCATTAATTTTAAATATTAGTCCCGAAGGCCTATGTCATTTCCATCGTAATCTCCTTCCATATTCTTAACATTCCTTGTTCCTTGTAAACTGTAAATGTAAACTCTCTTTGGGACATAATTTTCTTCCATCCTTTCAACATTTTCTTACCACTTATTTATAACATCCAACTAACTTCATTAAGCAACTATCAATATCTAGCCTAGAAACTCCCTGCATTTTATAGAACCAAAAGGTTGATTATTGTGTTCACAAGAGTCCACCACCAATCCCTAGAAGCTTCAGTCCTGTTTACATTAAGGTTACTATAACTGTGACATATTCTTTATAAAGGTAAAGGTAAAGCTGTTCCTGTCTGATACCCACCTGGGCAGTCTAGATCTAGTCTGGATGCAATAGTAAAGAAGAAAATCCCAGTCTCTGTTGTGAGTCTAACTATGGTCATCTATCCCAAAGATAGGCACTTGACTGACTGAGCTATAGTAGCACATCCACAGTCTATGCAATTATATAAATTTGCTTCCAATTTCACTTTTAAATAAAAAGTGATGCTAAGATGTAATAATAACATTACTAATGTTTAGCGTACCTTTAATTTTGAGCATGCCAAGCGTAACTTGGAATAAAACAATGGAACCATCAAAGAAGAAAAGATCCCATATACGCAAAAGTATCTTCATGTGAACGACAGATGCAAATAAAGTAAGGAACCAATGCAGAGTGATGAGACTGAGCTCAATGTCATGCTCTTTGAGAGTCACATCCACATCTGGAAGGTAGTTGCAGATCAGGGTCCTCAGCACACGCTGGTCTGCCTGTATCCCTGCAACACATGTTCAACTGTCTCATTCTGTATGCTTTTCATACTGATCATGGTGGACTGTCACACAGAACTCACCATTGTAACAGTGACAACGAGACTCATGTTCCATAAATTGGATTTACCTAGGAGTGTAGACGAATAGTATGATGCTGGCAGAATGTCCTCCACAATGGTGCTCAACATCCAAAATGCATCATCCTCCTCCATCAGCAACAGTAGTGATGAAGCCATCATACCAGTCCCCTGGCAGTACCTACAGAAATCATGTAAAATTCTGGCACCCTTTTATATGTAATCACTGTGGAAGAAAGGGTCAGACGACATTGGGAACTTTCACTTATTTAGGTTAGACAATTTAACCAATACAGAAACAACAGGGGCAAGACCATGGGATGAGGGTGGCCAAGTCCCTGGGGGTAGCAAGCCCAGGACAGTGGATGCCAAGGCATGTACAAGCTCAGCAAGGGGAAAGCCATGCATTCTAGAAGACTGTGGGAATGGTGTGGGGAGGGGATGTGAGAGGAAGCCTGGAGGCAAAAGCCTTTAATGGGCAAAGCCCAGAGCTGGACAACCCCAGTAGGTCAGCTTTTTGACGTAAATACGTCTATAAGGAAGGGTCATTCGGCAAAAAAGTGTAACAAAAAAGGGGAACGAAAAAGTGTAACAATGGTTACCTAGGGAATGTCGTCTGTTTACTCAGCATTTTTGTTACCTAAGAAACGTCATGTTTACTTGGCATTGTTGTTACCTATAAAACATTACATTACCTTACCTTACATTACATTATATTACATTTCATTACATTCAGCTACCACAGACCCATCTTAAGCGTAACTAATTCAAGTTAAATAAGCAATGTCTTAATCAAACTTTACGCAATTGTAAAGAATGTATAAAGGAAATATTTAGAATAAAGCCAATATATAAACTTCCTTTCCGTATAGACGTATTTACGTCAAATTCTCCGGAACCGTGGTTCCACTGCCAACTTTTCAAGTAAGCATGGAAGGAAAGCTAGGGGGTAAACCCAAAGGGAAGATAATGTCCAAGGGAAACCCCTCATAAGGCAAGGCCCACAAAAGTAAGCCCAAGGGGTAAAGTTTTGAAAGAGGGGCCAAAGCCGACAGCTAGGCAATTCCAAGAGGCCAAGCCATTGGAAGTAAGTACTGGAAAAAGGTAGTGGGTAAATCCGAGGGTGGCCAAGCTATGGAGACCAAGCCTAAATGCGCAAAGGCCTGGAGGGAAATACCCAATTAAGTCAAACCCCTGGCAAAATCTGTATGCAGTAAAGAACTTTGACACAGTATTTCACAAATTAGTATACTTCTTAAAGAAATGCAAGTTACTGAAACCACACATATCAACAATACAACTGAAGACAACTACAAAATATAGCAACAAATACATTAGCTACCAGTATAATTTTTTTCGTGAAATCTCTTAACAAAATATTGGCACATCCATTACAGATTCTTTGTGATAAATCCCCTGAAATATTCTGTGTAACTGTAAAGGCTAAACACATATCAATTTTGAAACCACTGACATAAACTGGTAACTCAGAGGGAGAAAATGGACTATTTCAACAAATGACTGTAATCATGAGCAGAATGCACTGCATCAGAGTAACCCATAAGTAAAATACACAATAGTAGAAGGTATAAAGTAAAGACAGTAGACATGTGTATCTACATATCTTTTATATATTACTTTCTGTTGAAAGTGCAAACAGAAGTTTCTTTAATTGTATATCTTCCATCATACATTATATATTCCTTGCAGAGCACTTAAAATTAGGCCATTATTAAATGCCAAGGCCTAATCCTCATGGGTATAATTAGTGTGACGTGTCGCCGTGAGTGCAGCGGATTTGCGCTGGAGGGTAGGGGCCGCTTGACTTCCAGGCTGCCTGGTCTGCATCTTTAGATGCTATATGAACTCCTACGTGCATTGTTGTGTTACCTAAGAAACAGTTTAGTCATCTGTTTATTTCCATTGTTATGTTTGTTTAACTGCCGTTGACAATCGGCTTTCGAGTTAGGGTGCTACAGGCCAATGTGTTTGCGTATGTGAAAAGCACCGAGCTCGGGGGACCAGATAGGCTCGAAGGACAGTGAGTGTGTGTGTGCGTGCACGCGTTGAGAGCAGAGAACATGACTCAGATACTGTTGTTGTAGTAGAGAGTTGCCTGTCAGTGTAGACCTCTGTATCTGATTTAATTTAACGTGAATAAATCAAGGGTTGACAACCAAGGTTGTAATTACCAACCTACGTCACAGTATTATTAATGAACACATCCCCATTCATATAGTGAGGGATTAACGGACTGTAAAATGATGTAAACCCACATAAGTGAACAATCTTATCTGTCCAGATGACTGATGCAAGTTACACAGAAACATCTGGTAAGGATTCAAGCCTGACAATTTCACCAGCAAACACTCTGAAATGGTAACATAAAACAGAGGTCCTTTTTACACTGAGGTTATTGAACATACCCAATGTCTGGGTAAAGCCATGCTAGCCCTCGCAACAGCCTGCGGAGTCGAGGTATTCCTGTGCTATCCAGATGACTGAAACATACATTTCCTGGCATGGTACGTAATAAGTCTTTTTCAATCTGCTTAGATGTCATAAGTACATCATTGCTGGAAGCCTTCACAATGTCTTTGTAGCTCATTTCAGAGGACAATTTCTTCTGTAATGCACCTGTGGACAAAAATATATTCTTCAGAACCCAGTAACATGTACAGAGTCACTTAAAACGAAAATTGGTACCCTAACATAGACAACCCCTTCTATTCTACTGACAAAACAAATTCAGTTTTGGAATTCGGCCATGTTGTATTTTGCAGGTGTGTCAACAGTTTGGCAAACTCAGCTGTTCCATCTGCAGGGTGAATGACTTTAAGAAAGGAGAGGGAGAATCTGTTATATAAGTGTGGCAGTGGAAGGTCAGCAAGGGGTTAAGTGACGTGACTGGACAAGCACAAGAAGGGGACGGCAATATCTAACGGCCCCGTGGTTCTGAAGAAACTTGGGGAGAAAGAGGAAGCAGGAGGTAAAACCTGACTTCACCCAGCTGTAAGTGTTTAATGGTGGTAAGGCCATACAGTTAAGTAGGAAACTTAGAAGTAAGCCATGATGCCTTCCACATTGGATAGCACCACACCACTTCTCTGTTTGCTCACTCATGCCACTCAACTCCCACTACCAGAGCCACTGAACAGCTAGCTCCCTTTACCATCCACAGACAATCATGTTGAAGACGGTAACTGCAACATTTGACAAAATGCTGGAATACCTTTGACACACAATTAAGCTAAACCACAAGAGCCAAGTTAAGCATGAAACTCTGGCTGCAAAAACCAAAGGAAATTAATGATAAAATGTTTCACCAATAATATGGCGCATTAAGTGCTCTTCGTTCTTTAAAAATAACTAAAACACTACTGTTTGAGTGACTCTCAAAAATGACCTGTCATTCCAATTGCTTATTCCAAAGTAGGTGATACTTCAAGGCATCTCACTTCATAGGAATTGTGTTATCTCTCAGACAAACAACTGTGACAAGACGGATGAAAACTAATGTTTTTTTAAAACTGTCACTGTATTCATAAAAAACTAATGTAATGAGTGACACAAACTGGACAACATAAATATGAGTATCAAGTAGTTTATGACGAAGAGGAGGGACACAGCATCCAAAAAGCGAAGAACCCTTCAATCCCTTTCATCACAGTGATAATTTACAGATTATATATCTCACCTGACAGACGCATCCACATCTGAGGACGAAGAGAATGAGGTATTCCTGCTCGAACCATTGAGCGCAATTTCTCTGTCCGAGGCAGTCTTACTTCTACCTTGTCCCACGTTAAATCACAGACTTCCTTATTATGACTGAACTCCAAGTGCGCTACCCACTGCAGTCTGAGAACAAGGAACAAAACGTTAGTAAAGAAGACAAGATCTTGTTCCTGCCTTTGAAAGCAAAGTCATGAATTGAATTTGGACTAAGAACAGTTGGTTGGTTGATTGATTCACATATTATTTAATGACATTGGACTAACTGCAGAATTTATTTAGCACCCAATGATATAATAGGATGACTGTGTGCAGTAAACTGAAAATGATGAAGATGCAAGTGGTCATGGCTTATTTAAAGTACAAATCCAGTACTTGAAGGACTGAGGAAAGCTGTGAAAATTTTTAGTGATACCCAGCTTTATTTATTGTTTATGTAATGACAGTCAATAGCTCAGATTATGTAGCATCATATGATAGGATGATTAATAACTAACAATAGGGAAAAGATAAGCTGAGGTAGCTCAGTCATTACACTGTCTCACTATGGATTGGATAACTGGAGGTTGATTCCCAGTAGGGACAAAGGATTTTTCTTCTAGCCTCTACATAAAGACTGGCTCTGGGGCCAAACCAGCCCATCCAATGGGCACCAGTGGTCCTTTCCATGGGAGAAAAGTGCAGCTGGAGTGTGGCCCTAATGTCAAGGTCACAAACAAGTAGGAGCTGTAGTGATTCTCCCCCTCCCCTAAAGTCTCCATAGCACGTAGCAGGATAACTTCACTTTAATAGGGAAAGGATGTGGAAGGAAGATGTCATGGCCTAATCTAAGGTACTAACCCCAGGAAAGCCACAAAGAAACCTTACTTTGGACAGCATGTCTTGAGGCAGGAATTTGAATGTGTAGGAGTGGTTATGACAACTGGTCAACTGACTCCCTGTTGGGATTCATACTGCATACCTCCCAATAGTGAATTAGACAAGATCTGTAAACCCACTTGATAATTAGAAATGGTAAATTTGGCAAAATACAGGTATAATTTATGGACCATAACTGATTTACCATAATCAACACTACTTCACCGTTTCTTCAGTCTTCTGTCATCTCACAATCAGGGACATAACCACCATACGATATGTGTCGTCACTATCTCTGCTTCTGTGAATCTCAACTGCACTGTATGTTTTTTCTTTCATGCCTATTTAAACATAATTACTTTACCAGTTGTTTCTTCCTGTCAAATATCAGTGAAGAATATTTTTTTGTTAATTTGATATTGATTAATTTTTCTGACAGGTCATTTAAACTTAATACATATCCGAATACGGTAAGAATAATTACTTTGAACATCTCATACACTATTTATTTTATTTATTTAGTGTTCTGTCTGACGACAGGTCCATATGAACAGGATCCTTCCATCCTTTTCTCGGACTGGGACCTGTTCATATACGTTCTTGGCAGATGATCCAGAAGTGGTTTGCCATTGCCTTCTTCTGTGTGTGAATGTAGTAATTGTTGGGATGCCACGGAGAAACCGGGGAAGCCCCCGGAGGAAAACTCCGTGTTGCCTAGACCACGGCCTTGCCCAACACAAGTTATAAATTCGGGCACCGCCGGGAATCGAACCCGAGACCCCAGGATTACAAGGCCAGCGTTCTAACCGCTAGACCACCGTGGCTTGTTCTCATACACTACTCATCTACTATAAAAATTTGTGATTCCTCGTTGTCTTCAAGAAATGACGTCATTAACAATGTCAACAGATATTTGTTTACTCGGCATTGTTGTGTTCCACAACAATGCCGAGTAAACAAATATCTGTTGACATTGTTAATGACGTCATTTCTTGAAGACAACGAGGAATCACAAATTTTTATAGTAGATGAGTAGTGTATGAGAACAAGCCACGGTGGTCTAGCGGTTAGAACGCTGGCCTTGTAATCCTGGGGTCTCGGGTTCGA